TTAAAAATTTATTATTTTTATTTTATGTGTATGAGTGTATTGCCTGCATGTGAGCGCGCCCGTGCAATGCCGGGCCGCCTCTGCCTCCTGAGTGCTGGGATTAAAGGTGTGCGCCACCACACCCAGTACTTCTTTTTAACTTTTTTAAAAATTTATTATTTTTATTTTATGTGTATGAGTGTATTGCCTGCATGTGAGCGCGCCCGTGCAATGCCGGGCAGGTCAGAAAAGGGCTTCGGATTCCCCTGGAACTGAAGTTAAGGACGGTTTGTAGCCGCCATGTGGGTGCTGGGAATCGAACCCGGGTCCTCTGCAAGAGCAGTTGGTGTTCTTAACCACTGAGCCATCTCTCCAGCCTCTCTTGTTACTTCTTTTACGCTGCGTACCCCAGGCTAGCTGCTCCTTCTGTTTCCAGGTAGTCCTGTCTCCACCTCCCTTCTTGCCACAAGAGTGCTAGGATTGCAGATTCCCACTGCACTCTGCTTTTTCACCTTGTTCCTGGTACAGAGCTCATCAGGCTTTCACAACTAGTGTTTTTATGAGCCGTCTCCTGGACTGGCCCATATCTATTTATTTAAGGGTATCACTGTGTAGCTTTGGTCAGCAGTCCTGCTGTTCCTGCCTCCTGAGTGCTGGGGCTATGGATATTTGCAAAATAGTTCTTTTTTTTTAGACAGGGTCTCCCTGTAGCCCCAGCTGTCCTGGAACTCACTGTGTAGACCAGGCTGGCCTCAAACTCACAAAGATCCATCTGCCTCTGTCTCCCAAGTGCCCGGCTCAAAATAGTTCTTTTTTTAAAAGTGTATTTATTATTTATTTTATGTATGAGAGTATTGCCTGCACATTGTGTACACCAGTGTTGAGCAATGCCCTCGGAGGGAAGGGCAGGGAGATCAGGGCAGCAGGAACCTGAAATAGCTGGTCATAGTGCGTCTGCAGTCAGGAAGCAGAAAGCAATGAAGGCATGTTAGTGCTCAGCACACTACTCCATTCTACACGGTTCAGTAACCCCTGCCTAGGGAATAGTGCCACCCACAGCGGACAGAGCTTCTTACTTCAATTAACACAAAATAATCTCCACAGGCATGCCCAGAGGCCCATCAACCCAGGTGCTTCTAGACTCTGTCAAGTTGAAGACACTAACCATCAGAGTAAAAATCTTGTTTAGGGGGCTGGGACTCTATCCCAAAGTCAGAGCAAGTGGGGACCCTGGAGTGATCCCCAGCTCTGTTCACAAATTAAAAAAAAAATCCTTGTTTGGAGATGGGTCAAGATGCTTGGAAACTGGCAGATCTCTTTGGGTTTGCTATTAACCTCAATTAGGCAGACTCAATGCTCTGATTATGTAGTGCAGACTTCTCTCGGACTGAGACTTCCCCAAGGCACGCTGTCTTATACCTATGCCTCCATGGGTTTAGGGCACCCCACCTTTCAGTGGCCCTGTCACTGCTTTCTCCCGCTTCTTCCCCTGCTGATCTCCTGTTCTCTCTGCAGCTACTTCCTCTCCCAGAGCATCCCCAATGACTTGGACCCCTCTGCTTCTCCACTATACCGGCACCACTAGGAGGTGGGAGATCTGCGTGGGTCTCTCCTGAATGGACCTGCAGCTATGGTGTTTTAGCCCAGCAAAGGCATTCCCAGCCTCCACCTCCTCCTCCCCCACCCCCTCCCTTTCCTGTTCCTCCCTCCCTCCCTCCCTCCCTCCCTCCCTTCTCCTCTTTCTCCTCCTCCTCCTTCACTTCTGACAGGATCTCACTTTGAAGAACAGATGTCCTGGATTCACTTACAGTCCAGACTAGCCTCCAATTAGAAGCAACGTGCCTTCCAATGTCACTCTACAGGCACACATCACCACACCCATCTCTAGTGTTTACTTTTGTGTGTGTGCTGGGCATGGACTCTGGAGCCCATGCATACTAGGCAAGTGCTCTACCACTGACTACACCCTAGCCCGTAATGTTTGCTTCTATATAACAAACTTATTTCCTTCTTCTCTTCCTCCCTCCCTTTCTCTTTTTCTCCTTCCTTCCTTCTTTCCTTTAGTGGAGTCTTACTTTGCTACCCAGGCTGGTCTTGAACATAGTCCAAGCCATCCTCCTGCCTCAGCCTCTTAGATGACTGGGACTCCTGCTGTGTGCCACTGAGCTCAGCTTCCTGTTCCATGACTTTGCAGTTTCACATTGTCTATTATTGACTGTGTAGGAAAGATGAAGATGTGACCACCCTGCCCCCTCTCAAACACAACACACATATTCTCTTGACTCTTAGTAATCAAGTTGTGTTTATAGTGTTTGGTTAAAACAACGTGACTTTGACTACAAATAGTAACACATATAAATAGTGTTCTTAGCAGAGCTCCAGAATAGTGCTCTTCATATTTCCTTTCATGGTCAAATTTCTTTGATGGGTAGCTTATACAGTGCTGTGAACCGAACCTGGGGCCAGTGCATGCCAAGCATGTCTGCCCCTGAATTCAAACCCCAGCCCACTGCTTTATTTTTACTTATTTTTCTATTATTTTTCCACAGTGATAAGAGAGGTTGCAAATGACTAGCTAGATATTCCTAACTCATTATGACTTGCCACAGAGGGGATCTTCACAGGGACCCTTCACCCAGCGCTTCCATACCATAGCCAGCCCCTATACTACTCCTTTTGGAGAAAGTGAGCAAAGCCAGGCCTGCAGTCCCAGCAGCTTGGGAGGCTGAAGCAGGAACATCAACAGTGCAATACCTACCTTGTCTACATAGTGAATTCAAGGCCAGCTTGGGCTACATGAGACCTTACCTCAAAAAAATAAATAGATAAAAATTCTACTGGGGTTAAATCTATTTTATAAAGGTTCCTGGAAGTGGGGGCTGGATGAAGAAACATGAAGGATGGTAATCCCATGTTCTGGGCCTGGTGAGCAATCCTTTGCTTAGCAGCCACTGTCCCCTGTACATTAAGCCATCTCTAGGTTACTAGTAACGACCAATCCAGTGCACCTGCCGTGTACACAGTTGTTACACCGCATTGCCTAGGGCACAAAGGCAAGGAGAGGGCCCCAAATCTTCAGTACTGATATAGTTTGGTTTTCTTATATTTGTTTTGTTTTGAGACAGGGTCTCACTATGTCACCCTGGCTGGCATGAAACTAGCTATGTAGACCAGGCCAGTCTTAAACTCACAGAGATCCACCTGCCTCTGCTTCCTGAGTGCTGAGATTACAGGTGTAGGCTACCAAGCCTGGCTGTTTTGTTCTTTGTGAGACAGGGTCTCACTGTGTGTGTGGCTCAGGCTGATGTTGAACTTGTGGTAATCCTCCTACCTCAACCTCCCAAGTTCTGGGACTACAGGTGTGAACCACCACACCCCCTACATACCTACATACAGTTACCAGACTGTGGTTGAATCCTTGGATCTGAGGCTGTTGGTGCATCTTTGAACACTGTATGCACATCTTCCTGGAGGGGACATACCCAGGGGAGGAAGAGCAAAACAGAGAAGGCAGGGGGGTGAGGGCACGGCATTAGGACCTGGGAAATGGCTCTTCGAGGTGGCAGAACCAGTTTCCTCTCCCCTTAACAGCCATGACTGTTTCTGTGACTCCACCTCTGTGGCATATGGTACCTCCCACTCTTTCCAATACAGTCACCATGATGTGGCTACCCTTCTGTAGTGTCACTGAAGTATAACTTACATACCACAAAACTTACCCATCTCGAGCAGTCGGTTTGTTTTAAGTCATTGTGCACAGTTGTGCAACCATCACCACTTCCAGTTTTAGAACATTTTTGCTGCTCCAGTGTCCGTTTTCCATCATCCTGCCCCCAGCACCCAACCCCAGACAACCACTAGTCAGTTTTTCCTGTGACTTTAATTTACATTTCCCCGTGACTAATAAAGTCGGGCTTCTTTGTGTTGTTGGCCATTAGCCACTTGGATAGCCTCTTTAGTGACACTTCTGTTCAGGTTTCTAGTTCAAGGTATCTTTCCTTACTGATTTGTAGGTATTTTTACAGATTCTAGATGGGATAGGATTTTTCAGACAAGTAGTGAATACATGTCTCCACCCTGTGCTTTGTCTTTTAATTCTCTTAATCGTTTCTTTGACATCCAGCAGTTTTGTATTTTTGTTTTGTGACAATCTTTTTGTTTTGTTTTGTTTGAGACAGGGTCTCACAATGCAGCCCTGGCTAGCCTGCAATTCACTATGGAGCCCAGGCTGGCCTCAGATTCAGAGAGATGTACCTGCCTCTGCCTCCCTAGTGCTGGGATTAAAGGTGTACACCACCATTCTGGGCCTTGTGACAGAATCTTGTGTGTCCCAGGTTGACCTTAAACTTGCTATGTTGTTGCTACTGACCTTGAACTCCAGATCCTCCCGCCTCCCCTTCCCAAGTATTAGATGACAAGCGTCACCTCTATGCTCTGCAGCACTGGGGACTGAACCTAGATCTTTGTTCATGTTAGACTGCCCTCTGCTCTCTTTTTGATACCCTTGCTATCAGTTCTGGTGGACGTCAGTGTGTACTTCCTTGGGTACCTGGGTTGCCCTCTGTGCCTTCCTGTACTCATTGTCTTCTAGAGTCCCTTCATTCACTCTTCCCTAAAGGGAAGTCCAGTGTCACCTACTTCCTCAGGGAAGTCTTCCTGGAGTGCTTCCTCATGACCTCTGCTCTCCTGTGGGGCCCAGAACTGAGGGATGAGGGAACTGCCCCAGCAGCAGGCTGTCTTCCACTCTGAGACCACTTCACCTAGGGACTATGTTCCTTCCTGCAAGACTGCCTTTAGGGGGGTGGGGGGTGTTGGTATGTGGTACTTACAGAGGGGCAGAGGTTTATGGGAAAAGCTACTCCAGGCCAGCAGGGTGGAGAGTGGGGTTCTGCTGCTCACATTGGGCAAGGCCTGGGGATCTGGGACAGTTGACATCTGACCAGCCCAGCCTCCCTCACCCCCTGCTGCTCCAGACAGACCCTGTGCGGCTGACCCAGCTGTATGAGCAGGCTCGCTGGGACCTGCTGATGGAGGAGATTGACTGCACCGAGGAGGAGATGATGGTGTTTGCTGCCCTGCAGGTGCCTGGGACCCCAGGAGTGCTAGGGTGTTGGGTTCCATCTTCAGAGAAGCCCAGCATGGGGTTCTGTAGGGCAACTGGGCCTTGGGACTCACTCCTCCCTGGCCATGTGTTCCCAGTACCACATCAACAAACTATCCCAGAGTGGGGAAGTGGGTGAGCCAGCTGCTGGAGACATGGGCCTGGAGGACCTGGATGCAGCCCTGAACAACCTGGAAGTGAAACTAGAGGGGTCGGCACCCTCTGATGTGCTGGTGAGGAAGGGCTTGGGCCTGGTGACGGAGTTGGGATTAGGGCCAGGATGGTGGACCTGGTGCCTCCTCTGACTCCTCTTCTCATCCAGGACAGCCTCACCACCATCCCTGAACTCAAAGACCACCTCCGAATCTTCCGGTTAAGTATGGGACTTGTCTGGAGAGAAAGGGAAGGAGGTGGGTGGGGAGGAGGCCAGGGTTCACAATCAACCTCCTCTCCTCTAGGCCCCGGAAGCTGACCTTGAAGGGTTACCGCCAGCACTGGGTGGTATTCAAGGACACCACTCTGTCCTACTACAAGAGCCAGGATGAGGCACCCGGGGACCCCATCCAACAGCTCAACCTAAAGGGTGAGGGAGCCAGGCTTTCAGCCTCAGTTTCCTCCTAAGGACCAGGGAGGATGCCCACTGTCCTGACATGACTGTGGATGGCCAGCCTGACTTTCACACAGGGGCCTCCTAGACAGGCCACTCCTTCTCTCTGCAGGTTGTGAGGTGGTCCCTGATGTCAACGTCTCTGGCCAGAAGTTCTGCATTAAACTCCTGGTACCCTCACCAGAGGGCATGAGTGAGATCTACCTGCGGTGCCAGGATGTAAGCAAGCTACATAGGGGGTGGGAGGTGACTATGGTCAGGGCTGGAACAGCATTCAGGAGAGGGGTGGGCTCTGCCAGGGTTTGCTCACCCCCCTCATTGTCCCTCCAGGAGCAGCAGTACGCTCAATGGATGGCTGGTTGCCGGCTGGCCTCCAAGGGCCGCACCATGGCGGACAGCAGCTATGCCAGCGAGGTGCAGGCCATTCTGGCCTTCCTTAGTCTGCAGCGGGCAGGTGGAGGTGGTGGAGGCTCAGGCAACCACCCTCAGGGCCCAGAAGCCTCTGCTGAAGGCCTCAACCCCTATGGCCTTGTTGCTCCCCGCTTCCAGCGAAAGTTCAAGGCAAAGCAGGTGCCAGATGATGTGGGGGTGGGAGCCTCCCTCTACCCCTGAACCACTACAGAGCCTTGGGAAACCGTGTGCATGCCTCTTCCTTCTCCTGCAGTGTCCCTGAGACGTCTCTGGGAGGGTGCCAGGTCTACTGAAAGGGCCTGACACAGCCACATTTTGCATCTTGGTGGCATCACAATAGCTACTTCCTCTGCCCCAGGGTCAGTGTCCTATGTCCCTGACACTGGCAGGCAGGGGTTCTCAGGGACTCTGGATAAGGAGACCCCCCCCAACCCCTTACCACTATGACCCTGCAGCTTACCCCGAGGATCCTGGAAGCTCATCAGAACGTGGCCCAGCTCTCACTGCCTGAGGCCCAGCTGCGCTTCATCCAGGCCTGGCAGTCCCTGCCTGACTTTGGCATCTCCTACATGGTGGTCAGGTACAATCCCGGCCTCGCCAAGCACCATTTCTGCCCTCACCTGCTGCCAGCTGCTATGCCTGAATCCCAAATAAGTCCCAGGCAGGGACCTCAGTGTCTCTGTCCCCCTGTTCAATGTGTGGCTCTGTGTATCCCCAAGTGTGCATCTCTCACAGATGTACAAGAGGCAAAGCTCAGACCAACCAAGCAGAAAAACTAGTGTTGGATCCCAGCTCAACCATGGACACTTTCCTCTCTGAACCTTAGCTGCAGGACAGGGATGATGTGGGATGGTGTCACAGGAACTCACTACACAGCTCTGGCTGACCTGGAGCTCTCTATGTAGATCAGGCTGGCCTAGAACTCACAGAGATCATCCTGCTTCTGCCTCCTGAGTGCTGGGATCAAAGGTGTGCACTGCCATACCAAGCTAGTTAACATTTTTTTAAATCTTTTTTGTTTTGTGTCTATGTTACCCACATGTATGTAATTGCACCCTTATCATGCAGAGACTAGAAGAGGGCATTGGGTCTCCTGGAACTGGGGTTATAGATGGTTGTTAGCAGCTATGTGTGTGCTGGGAACTGAACCTGGGTCCTCTGCAGGAGCAGTCAGCGTTATTAACCACTGAGCCATCTCTCCAGCCCCATTAATATTTTTATTTTAAATCACTGTGTTTGTCCACATGAGTGGGCATGTGCCATGGAGCTCATATGGAGGTCAAAGGATAACCTTGGGTGTTGCTTTTTACCTTCTACCTTGTTTGAAACAAGATCTCTTGTTTACCACTGTGTATACCAGGCTAGTTGGCCCAGGAGTTTCCAGATTGTCCTGTCTCTGCCTCCCATCTTGCAGATACACTACTGTGTTTGGCTTCACATGGGATTTGCATCCTTGTGCTTGCATAGCATAAGCAATGGTATCCACTGAGCAACCACCTCAGACTCTTGTCTGCCTTGTTTTTGAGACAAGATCTCCTATTGGGCTAGAACCCACACAATAGGCCACACTGGCTGGCCACAAGTCCCAGGGATCCACCTGCCTCTGCCTTCCCTATTATGGGACTGCAAGAAGGTGCAAACACTTTGGATCTGGGGATCAAATTCAGGTGCTCAGGCCAGGTGCAATACACACTTTTAATCCCAGCACTCAGGAGGTAAAGGCAGGCGGGATCTCTGAGTTCACAGCCAGACTGATCTACATAGTGAGTTCCAGGCTAGCCAGGGCTACATGGTGAGACCTCTCTTTATGCTTGTAAAGGCAAGTGCTTTAATGACTGAGGCATCCCGCCACCACCTCTTTTTTTGAGACAGTGCTTTACCATGTAGCAAAGTCTGGCATGAATTCCTGCCTGATTGCTGGGACAAGGCTAGCATGAGTCCATTAATAATCCCATTTTTCAGATAAGGAGTTTGAGGCCCAGAGAACCTGGATGACTGGTTCGGGTGACCCAGCAGGCAAACTGCAGAGCTGGGGCTGGCTGGCTGTGCTCCACCCTGCCGGCACTGGAGCACTACACATGGGGTCGCTCCAGACTGTGCAGGGCAAAGCTCTCACTCATACACCATCTCCCTGGGGATCAGGTTCAAGGGCAGCAGGAAAGATGAGATCCTGGGCATTGCCAACAACAGACTGATCCGCATTGACCTGGCGGTGGGTGACGTGGTCAAGACCTGGCGCTTCAGCAACATGCGCCAATGGAATGTCAACTGGGACATCCGGCAGGTAAGCCAGGGCCAGGGCCAGGCACCCAGCTCAGACCTAACCAGGGCAATGCAGGGGCTGCTCCTTGTTGCCCCCTGCCCACTGGCTCTGTGGCTACCCACCTGCAGGTGGCCATCGAGTTCGACGAGCACATCAACGTGGCCTTCAGCTGTGTGTCTGCCAGTTGCCGCATCGTGCACGAGTACATTGGGGGCTACATTTTCCTGTCCACTCGGGAGCGGGCCCGCGGGGAGGAGCTGGATGAGGACCTCTTCCTACAGCTCACAGGCGGCCACGAGGCCTTCTAAGGGTGTCCCACTGCTCCAGAGTTCGCTCACCACCTGCCATGGCCCCTCCCGAGCCTACACCCACATGGACTCACTGCTCCACCCTTCCCAGCATGCACCACACTGGGCACCTTCACCTGCTGTCACTGGCCGACCAGGGTTCTGGCTGAACCAGACTCTGCCACCACCCAGGCTAGGGCCAGTGGGCCCTGAGCTACACGTAGCCCCTCCTCTCATTCCACTGGCGGAAGCTCACACCCCTGACCAATCTGTTGTCCTTAAGCACAGGAGGAAGACCAGGTTTGGATAAGGGATGAGGGATCCCAGTTTCAAACTGGAATTTCTTTCTTGCGACTATTTTAGATTTCTTTTTTTTTTTAATAAATATTTTATTGTTGAATCTTTCTTCTTCCTCCTCTGGAGCTGTGCTTGGGGCCACTCTGGCACTCTGTCTCTTTATGACCAGCTAAGGAGAGAAGCTTTCGGGTAGGGCGTAGCTGCAGGGCCTCTTTGAAGTACTTGGGAAGCAGAAGGCCATCAGTGTTTCCTGGAGTCAGGATCACTCCATTGGCAGAGCGGAAGAAGGGGATTCCATCTGCCCACAGAGTTAGAGATGTGACTTGTGTCCCTCTCTGAAAGGCCTAGGGTAGTCCCTGCAGGGCCCACACTCACCTGCCAGGGCCAGGGGTCCATTGATGAACACTGCCACTTCGCAGTTTGGACGCATGCCTGTGGGGGGACAACTGGAGCTGGGGTCTAGGGCATCTGGCAGAATGGGGTCCCTAGGGGTGTGGCAAGGGGTACTGCTCCATGCAAAGCTGTGTGGTGGCCTCACACAAAGGAAGCTGTGACCCTGTATAAGGACTTGGGAGGATAGGGGAGATAAAAGGGACACTGACCACTAATGATACCAGGGTCCTCAGGCAGTCCTGGGGCCAAATGGATGTGTGTCCTTCCTTGACATGACAAGCCCTTGAGCAGGATGGATGGCCAATGCTTCCAGAATGTACCATGGGCTAGCATCGGGGGCAGGGCCTGTGGTGTCTCCAGGGGCATCAGCTCCAACTCAGGTACCTGGGGTGGATATGTGAATGGCAGCAGTGAGACCCCCTTCATGAACTGGGGTCCCACTTGGCTCTCCCACCTGTCCTTCCACACCTACCTGTAGGGAATGGCCCTGATTGGCCCGGATGAGGGGCCCAGTGCCAGGCTCTCCTGGCTGTAGAGCAAATCGCTGCTTACCATTGGTCTCCACCACACGCTGCACATCCTCAGCTGAGAAACTTTGGAACTGGGGCAGCTGCAGGAGGGCACGCAAAGGCACAAAGCCATCTGCAGGCAGGTGGGAGCTCAGAAGCCAGGCCATGATGAACAGGGAAGCTATAAGCTGCTGGAACAAAGGCTGGGCCTGGAGGTCATATGGGCTTCACCTGTGTGACCTTCAGAAAGTTTTCCCTTTGGGGGCCTCAGGTTTTGTTTTGTTTTGGCTATACTGGACCTTTCACATGCTTGGCAAGCACTCTATACTGAGCTAAACTGAGGCTATCCCAGGCCTCAGTTTCCTTAACTTACATGATCTACCTCATACATGTGGTGGCTATGTCTGGGATCCCAACACTTTGGGAGGTGGAGGCCTGAGGATCAGCCTCATCTACAGTTTGAGGCTAATCTGAGCTACATGAGACCCTATCTGAAAAAAAACAAAAAAAAAGCTGGGCATGGTGGCTCGTGCCTAAAATCCAGCTCTCAGGAGGCTAGAGAAGGGAAATCAAGAATTCAAGACCAGCCTGGGGTACATAGAGTCTGTCTCAAAAACCAAAACAGCTGAGCTTGGTGGTGCATACCTTTAGTTCTAGGACTCAGGAGGCAGAGGCAGGTGGATCTCTGTGAGATGGAGGCCAGCCTGATCTACAAAGTGAGTTCCAGGCCAGCTGGAACTACAGGGAGACCCTGCCTCAAGAAGAAAAAAAAAAAAGGCTGGAGAGTTGGCACAGCCATTAAAGGCTCAGGTTCACAATCAAAAAGGCAAAAAGAAAAAAAAGAACTGAGAGATGGGTCAGCTGTTAAAAGCACTGGTTACTCTCAAAGAGGACCCAGGTTTGTGTCCTAACACCCATATGGTGGTTACAACTGTCCTTAGCTCTAGTTCTAGGGGATCTGACCCCCTCTTCTGGCCTCTATGGGCATTGCACACATGGGTACACTTAACCTACATGCAGGTAAAATACTCATACACAAGCCCAGTTGTGGTGATGCATATCTTTAATGCCAGCACTTGGGTGGCAGAGGCAGGCAAATCTCTGAGTTCAAAACCACCCTGGTCTACACAGTGAGTTCCAGGCCAGCTGGGGCTACAGGGAAACTCTGTCTCAAAAAGACCAAAAACAAAAACCAAAAAAACAACAAAAAAAATCAATCATACAGATAAAAATAAAACATATTTTTCTATTTATTGATATTTTATGTGTATGAGAGTACTGCCTGCGTGTAGATAGGTGCACCATGTCATGCAGTACTCCCAGAAGTCAGGAGAGAGCGTCGGATCCCCTGAAACTGGAGTTACTAATGGTTGTTCCAATGGTTGTTAGTCACCATGTGGGTGCTGGGAATCGAACCCAGGTCCTCTGCAAGAATAGCCAGTGCTCTTAACTGCTGAGCCATCTCTCCAGTCCCAAAAATAAATTAATTTTTAAAAAGACAACAGACAAAAAACCCAGCAACAACAAACAACAAAATGTATATGCTTCAGGGAGAGCAACATAAGAAAAGTACTTAGTACCCTGTCCAGCCATGAAGGCCATTCAGTAAACTTTAGTTGCTTCAGCGACCCCTCGCCCAGTGCCCATCCTTGGGAAAAGTGTTTATCGGGCCACTCAGCTGGAAGGGATATCATGAGGCCCAGCCCAGACAGGGGCTCTCCTCTCCCAGGGGACATAGATTGGGCTCTAGGCCTTCTGCCTGTACATGGGGAGGGTGCACCCGTTCTGCTTTCCTCTTGGGGCACTGGTGAGAGGGGACGCACAGGCTCCCGTTACTCTTGGGCTCCTGCCACTCCTCCCGGCCTCCACCAGCACACTTACCAGCTCCCATGGGAAGACCCAGCTTCAAGGCCCCGTGGCGCAGAGCATAGGACAGAGCCTTAGACAGCTGCACATCTCGGTCCTGAAAGAGCCCAGGAGTAGCCTGGGTCTCCCTCAATAGTGACCCCGCCCTGTTACCTACTTTGAGCTCTGAATATCCAACTGCAGAGGGAGACCAGAACAGTCCCTGTATTTTCTGGGACCAGTATGATCCATCGGTTCCCCGAGTCCACCCCACCAAAAAACCAAGGCTCAGAGGAATCCTCCCTTCCCCTCCTTTCCCGGGGGTGAGGGTGGAGGGGTGCGCACCTGTTCCCGGGATCTCTGAGCCCTTCTACCCAAGGACTCTGCTGTTTCCTGTCTCCTTCCCCTAGCGGCGTTCATGGCCAAGACCTGTAGGGAGACGTGTGGGCACTCCGATGTCCCCATGCCTCCCAGAGCGGGATGCAAGGCTCAGGACGTGAGGACCAGGTGACAAAAACACAGCTCATTTCACCCTGGAACGACCCTCCCTGGTGCAGACAGGGAAACTGAGGCCCACTGGCGCGACTTGCCCAAGGTCACATTGGCAGCCACGAGGCCCGGGGAAGCCCAGCCCCGCACTCGGGACTCGCGATTCCGGCTGTCCAGGTGAGGGACGTGGGACCGGCGTGCGTGTGCACACCAGGGAGAACTCCGGCCGCGCTAACCAGAAACGCTTAACTGCGGAGGACCGGGCGTGGGCCCGGACACGGTCCAGCCAATGAGAAGCCGCGCACGAAAGAGGCGGGAACTTCCGCTTGGGGGAAGAGGCGGAGCCTGGGAGCCCAGCTGGCGGGTGAATTCCCAGTGCCGGCTGAGGTTGGAGCTTCTAGACCCTGGGAGGGGACCTGGTACATCCAGATTGGAGGCACACTCCTGGGTCTGGGGGACATGAGCATTTGGGGGACCCAGGGCTGCTGGGTGGTGGCGATGCCTAAGAGTTGCAGGGGTTTGGGGCAGCAGGAGTCCGGGCGCTAGCTGGGTTCAGGATTCTTGCTAGGATCTTATGTGACACTCGCTGCCCTACAAGTGATCAGGGACCTGCAGAAGGGCTGGGGCACCCTCAAGAGAGTGTCAGTCGTTCCCTAGGGTGACAGAATGGCCATCTGTGTCCTCCCCCAGAGCTGCCCTGTCAGACCATGGACCCCGAGGTATCTCTGCTGCTACTGTGCCCTCCTGGGGGACTGCCCCAGGAGCAGGTAGGTGTGGAGCTGAGCCCTGCCCATGACCGCCGTCCACTGCCTGGAGGGGACAATACCATCACTGCCATCTGGGAGACCCGGCTACAAGCCCAACCCTGGATTTTTGATGCACCCAAGTTCCGCCTTCATTCAGCCACACTGGCATCCAGCTCCACCCAGCCACAGCTGGTCCTGCGTCTGGGTCTGACTTCCTACCGGGACTTCCTGGGCACCAACTGGTCCAGCTCAGCCTCTTGGCTGCGACAGCAGGGAGCTGCAGACTGGGGAGACAAGCAAGCCTATCTGGCAGACCCACTGGGGGTGGGTGCTGCATTGATCACGGCTGATGACTTCCTTGTCTTCCTGCGCCGTTCTCAACAGGTGGCTGAGGCACCTGGGCTGGTGGACGTGCCTGGTGGGCATCCTGAGCCTCAGGTGAGATGGGCCGGGCAGGCATGGGCCCAGACAAGCACAGACCATGATTGTCACTTCTACTGGCTGGAGACAGGTGCTCCCTGCTATTTGAGAGACTCAATTATAGGTCTGACCTGCAACACACCTATGAGAGCTAGGAAACTCGGGAGGTGGGGAGAGGGAAGAGGAAGAGATGTCTTTCCCTACCCCCACTCCCATGTGAACCTTCCTAGCTAGGCCTCTGGTTGTCTGTCTAGAATAGGAGGGCCTGGTTTAGGGGACCACCAAGACTCTTAAAGCTGAGGCCAGGCTGGCAAGAGGAAAGGCTGGAAGCATTGTAAACAAAGGCTGAGCCCAAATTGTCACAGGCCCTGTGCTCCAGCGGCAGCCCCCAGCACAAGGACCTCCCTGGGGAACTGGTGGTACGTGAACTCTTCTCCAGTGTCCTACAGGAGATCTGTGATGAGGTGAGTGGGGGAGGGCATGAGAAAGGGGGTAGAACTTGCTAGAATTCCACAGGTCTGGGTTGGTGGGTCTGAAGCTGGCTGACTCTGAGGGGAAAGCTTGGCTTTGAGCCTTAAGAAAGGAAACAATGGGGGCTGGAGAGATGGCTCAGTGGTTAAGAATACTGGTTGTTCTTGCAGAAGACCTGAGTTCAAATCCCATTGCCCACATGGCAGCTAACAACTGTCCATAACTCCAGTCCCAGGGGATCTGACAGTCTCTTCTGTCCCCGAGGGCATTGCACGACACGGGTGCACTTACCTACATGCAGGCAATACACGCATACACATAGAATAAAAATAACAAAATATTTTAATAAAAAGAAAGGGCCGGGCATGGTGGCGCATGCCTTTAATCCTAGCACTTTGGGAGGCAGAGGCAGGCAGATCTCTGTGAGTTCAAGGCCAGCCTGGTCTACATAGTGAGTTCCAGGACAGCTGGGGCTACAGGGAGACCCTGTCTCAAAAAGACAAAAAAAAAAAAAAAAAAAAAAAAAAAAGAGAGAGAGAGAGAGAGAAAGGAAACAATGGATTACAGTGGATTGCCCCAGATTTCTTGAAAAAGGAATGAATGAGAATCTCAGTTATTCAATCAACTCCACTTGAATAAAGGAACTTCCCTGGGCAATTGTTTGATCTCTCATCTGTAAAATGAACATGCCCAGAACCTGGAGTTTTGTGTTATGAGGCACTTGACTTATAAAACAAAAATGCAAGGGTAACAGGCCATTGAGTGTTGGGGATGCAGCTCAGTTACTTGACAGAGTGCTTGCCTAGCATGTACAAGGCCCTGAGTTCAATCTTCAGTACCACATAAACCAGGTGTGTTGGTGTAAGCCTGGAATCCCAGCACTCAGGAGGTGAGGCAAGAGGATCAGAAATTCACTGCTGTCATTGGTTACATACTAAATTTAAGGCTAGCTTGGGCTACATGAGACTCTATCTGAAAAAAAACAAAACCAGGCCATTGGGAGGTCAATGTGTGGGCAGTGGCCCTGACAGGTGGGACTCCCTGCCACAGGTGAACCTGCCACGGCTCACCTTGAGCCAGCCACTGCTGTTGGGCATCGCCTGCAATGAGACCAGTGCGGGCAGAGCCAGCGCAGAGTTCTATGTCCAGTGAGTGGGCTTGGGGGAGGTGGATGGGAAGGAGTGGGTTGAAGCAGCTGGGGTTCTACAGGAATCCTGTAAGGTTGGGGCACCCACAAAGCTACCATCATCATGTTCCTGTCCAGGTGCAGCCTGACTTCTGAGGAGGTCAGGAGCCATTACCTAAGTGGGGGACCTGAGGCCCATGAGTCTACAGGCATCATCTTTGTGGAGACAGAGGTGTGTGGTTGGGGCCTGTAGAGTCTGGTGGGGAATGAGAGGACACCCAGGTCTCAGAGTTCCCAGAGGCACAAAACTTTTACCTACCCAAGGGAAACGCCCACGTACCCGTTCGGCCCCAATGTCTCCCTAGGCTGAGTAACCCTGGGCATAGCCCCAGCAGGCAGTGAGGCCTCCTGTCTAGTCTCACTGTCTTCTAACAGAGGGTGCAGAGACTGCAGGAGACCGAGATGTGGGCCCAGCTCTGCCCTTCAGCCAAAGGTGCCATCCTCCTCTACAATCGCCATCCTCCTCTTCAGTAGGGTGCTGGGGAAGTCCCACCTGCGTCACCCTAGCGTCTCAGCCCTATCACTATAGCTCTGAAGACAATAAAGGACTTTATTCTTGGATTCCGTTGGCATCTGCTGCTTCCATAAAAGATGGGGGTTTCTGGGAGAGTCCTGGGTGGGTGAAAGGGGCAGAACACGTGGCGGAAAGGAGCCCAGAGCGCAGCCTCATTTGCCCCTCTGGGACCAGGATGAGGGCCGAGGATCCCGAGCGATGCTCTAAGGGGATGCTCCAGGAAGACCGCGGGGTGACAGTGCCTGTGAGCCGTGCCTCGCAGCTGTGGGGAGCCGGCTGCCGAGCGTCAGGCCTCCCCGGGGGTCCTTTTGGGTCCCTAGAGTACTCCGAGGAGGTTACTGGAGCCGTTCCAGGAGCTCAATCGCTTCCGCTTCGCGGGCTCGGGAGTCCATGGCCAATAAGCGCGCGGCGTCGGGGCTCGCCTGCACCTCCTAGTCCAGTGGGCGTGTCCCGAACGCCTACGCCAAGCTCGGGGGCGGGGCCTGCACAGGAGCAGGAAATGGCGATCGCTGAGTCCGTGAGTGCGGCGAGGGAGGGGCTTACCTGTGGCTCCTCCTTCGCCCGTCCTCCCCCGTACTCTCTGGGTGGGAAGCGGGGGGTCACCAGGCCTGAGCCGGTGGTGCCGGGAAGGGCCCGGAAGCCTGGGTGTAATTCAGAGCAAAGAGGCCTTCCCGCGATCTGCTTCACTCTGCCTTGGAGAGAAACCGAGGCAGGTCTGTCCTGATCCCCCAGTGTCTGTCCCGATCCTGTTCCAATGCACCCCTCTCGGGGGTCTCTCTTCCCCAGCTGCCCGCCCGCTATCATCAATGTCACCCCCGTTGCTCCTGCTGCCTCTGCGCCTCTGCAGGCTATGGCCCCGCAACCCTCCCTCCAGGTTTCTCACTGCCGCCGCCGGGCAGCGGTGAGTTGAGTGCCAGGTCTTATATATTTTGTAGAGATGGTTGTGGTCACTGCACTGTGTCAAGTTTTAGGGGTTTGTCCCAGATAACTCACTTTCACTGCTGGACTCTTGAGGATCAAAAATTAAACGCTGAGCCCCAAGGTCATACAGTGTAGTTAAATGGCAGTTCAGGAAACTGAGCTCAGGTCAAACCCAGTGCTCTTTCCATAGCTCTGGTGGGTTGTCAGGCTTCATTGCTACCTACCCTGGGAAAGAGGGAGGGTACAAAGATTCAGATTTCTGGAACAGGATCTGCAGATGCTGGTCAGGAGGAATGAGGTGGAGAGTGGGAATTCTTTTGAGATGGAGTTTTGTTATGTTACTCAGATGAGCCTCCAAGGTTCAAATGGTCTTCCCAGTTCAGTCTCCCCAGCAGCTGGTTGGCGTATAGGCACAGACTACCATGCCTGATTTGGGAATCTTTTCTTCTCTTTTTGAGACAAGGTTTTATGTAGACTAGGCTGGCGTCAAACTTGCTATGTAGCCAAGGATGACTGAATTATTATTATTTTGTGGTTTTTTGAGACAAGATCTCCTCTGTAACCCTGACTGGCCTGTAATTTGCTATGTAGACCAGGCTGGCCTCACACACAAAGATCCATCTGCCTCTGCCTCCCAAGTGTTGAGACTAAAGGTGTGCTCCACCACACCTGGCCCTTCTTTTTGTTTTTTAAAGATAGGATCACTATGTATTTCTGGCTGTTCTCAACTCACCTGCCTCTGCCTCTGCCTCCCAAGTACTGGGATTAAAGGTATACACAATCACACCTGACTCAGAATCTTTTTAAATGTTGGCGCAGGGTTCTGAGGACTGTCCAAAGTTCTGGCCAAACACCCCAAAGAAAATGTGATATGGGGATATATGTGTCTTGGGATTTACTTCAGCTCTTGTCTGCTGAGTTGAAGGGTATGATAGGGAGCTGGGAGGGCAGGGTAGTGGTGGCCTCTGGTCTCCTAAGCTCCTGTAGGTTTGGGCCTCTCTTTGCAGGTCTGGTCCTAGTAATTACTATGAACTGTTGGGGGTGCATCCTGGTTCCAGTGCTGAAGAAATTAAACGTGCTTTCTTCGCCAAGTCCAAAGAGGTACTGGTACCCCCAAGGAAAGGAGGGAGGAGATTTATGGCAGACATGGGGAACTCCAAGTCCCTGAAACAGACTGGACTTGGACAGACTGACATCTCTGGCTGGTAGCACATTCCTTAAGACTTTATGGGGATAGGAGGTGCTCAAGATATTGTAGGAGGAAAGGGTCAGGGAAGCTGGCTCATGGCTGGGTGTGGTTTTTTTCTTTCTTGGTTTTTGTTTTGCTTTGTTTTTGACTCAGGGTTTCACACTGTAGCCCAGGCTGACCTCAAATTTTAAGCATTTCTTCTGGGGATGATGGGTCACACCTTTAATCCCAGCACTCAGGAAGGACTCAGAGGCTGGTGAATCTTTGTGAGATCAAGACCAGGCTGGTCTCCATAGTGAGTTCCAGACTAGTCAGGGCTACAAAGAGGCCCTGTCTCAAAAAAAATTGAAAGTCCTCTGTCTCAGCTTCCCTAAGGCTGGGATTACAGATGTGAGCTACCATATCTAGTTGTTTTTTTT